GGGAGGGTTGGTGACACTGGGAAGGTTGGTGACACCGCTGGAGTGTCCCTGGTGGGGTCGGTGGCACCAGGGTGTCCCTGCTCACAGGGGGTGTCCTGACCGTGTCCCCCCCCAGGCCCCGAGGCTGCGCAGGGCGGGGAGCGGGACAGGGACAGGGACAGGGACAGGGACAGGGACAGGGAGGAGCGGCCCCCGGAGCTGCCCCTGCTGAGCGAGCAGCTGAGCCTGGACGAGCTGTGGGACATGCTGGGCGAGTGCCTCAAGGAGCTGGAGGAGTCGCACGACCAGCACGCCGTGCTCGGTGCGTCCCCCGCGCCCTGGGGGGCCCCAAAAACACGGGGGGGACCCCAAACCCTCGGGGGGTGGGGCTGGAACCCAGCGTGGGGGTTCCCACCTGCCCCCCACGGCGTTCCCACCCTCACCCCACGGCGTTCCCACCCTCACCCCACCTCACCCCACACCGTTCCCACCCTCACCCCACACCGTTCCCCCATCTCTGCGTGTTCCCCCCAGTTCTGGGACGTTCCCTTCCCCATCCCAGGGGGTTCCCCCGTCCTGTTCCCACCCCACTGACCCCTCGGTGCCCCACACTGACCCCTCGGTGCCCCGCAGTGCTGCAGCCGGCGGTGGAAGCGTTTTTCCTGGTGCACGCCACGGAGCGCGAGAGCCGCCCGCCGGTGCGGGACACGCGGGAGAGCCAGCTGGCCCACATCAAGGACGAGCCGCCGCCGCTGTCCCCCGCGCCCCTCACCCCGGCCACCCCCTCGGCCCTGGACCCCTTCTTCTCCCGGGAGCCCTCGGCCATGCACATCTCGGCCAGCCTGCCCCCCGACACCCAGAAATTCCTGCGCTTCGCCGGTCAGCGCCGCCGGGGCTCGGGAGGGCGGGGAAGGGGCTCGGGGAGGGGGCTGAAGGCGGTTTGGGGGCACTGGAGGGAGATCTGGGGGAGTTCAAGGTGTGGGGAAGGCGGTTGGGAGAGTGGGGAGGGGGTTTTGGGGTCTGGAGGGGATTGGGAGGGGGATTGGGAGTGTTGGGAGGGGGCTGGGGTAGGAATTGTGGGGCTGGAGGAGTTTGGGAGGGGGTTTGGGGGAGCTG